CCCCAAGTATTCTGAGAATTCTTGTGAGGAAAGATGATACACTTTCTGGATAGCTCCTATCTATTCAAGGCAGAAGAGGCCAGAAATTGGCAATGACAGCCTCTTATATTTTCTATCCATCTCAATGTTGTCATACTTATGTTACCCAGAAGAGTCATTTGCTTTCTTGACAGATGACCCACAATAAGATCTGTATTACATTGCTGGCCATCATAATTTTTTATGTACACATCATGGCCTGCATTACTTCACATCTTATATATGCATTTGAATGTGATGACTTTGACAAGGTGCATATTGGGAGAAAGCTAGACATCAATTAATCCAAATGCTACTGTTGTGACAGATGTGAGAAAAAATATGAAAAAAACAACCCTGCTGAGATTATATTATTTCCGTAAAAACCACATACTTTAAAAAATACTTCCATGATCTATTCATAAAATTATCTATTTTGTTGAATAAATTCATGAAAAGTCCCATATTCTGTATAGCTTTTCCACCTCCATATAGTAAAGGGGTTCATTAACTCAATACTATTGTTCACTTCACCAAAAGTAGTACTAATCTATTATTCTCAATAAAATGTTGGGTCTTGAAAGAGAAGGTAGATGTGAGCAGTCAATCTTACTATCTCAGCAATTGTCTTTGGTGCTGTAGCATTAATGTAGCTCTTGATTGTTTCATATGCACAATAAAGAGAAAGTCCACCACAGCTCTGCACACAAGCACACAATCACATATTAGTTAATTTTATTGGATACCTGCACTAGCAGCATTCCTTATTCTTTCTAACCACAGATAAATCTGGAAATGATCTCCAAATTATCTCTGGATGATCAAGCAGATTTTCTCCTGGTAAAATATGCAATAGTATTTAATCCTTCCTCTAACCCCCAATGGTGAACCAGACAATGATTCTGGAGATCATGTTCAATTCCTCGCTAGGCCTTGGAAACCCACTGGGTGACCTTGGACAAGTCACACCCTCTCATCCCCAGAAAATTCTATGATAGGTTTATTTTAGGGTTACCATATGTCTGAAATGACCTGAAGGCACACAACAACAACCCCTCAAAACACCCCAAGTCCCTCCCGAACAGCCACAAACAATGCTCCATTATCCTTCCTCTCATACATAGCTAGTCCCAATCTCTCTTCCAGTTTCATGTGGAGTAGAGCAAAGCAATTGAGTGGGACTAAGCTCCTCCTCCTCCTCCTCCTCCTTTTGCATCAGACTAAAACCAGAGGAGATAGTTATATTATGCTTGATATAAGGATAGGAAAGCCTAGCAGCATTGCTTTTTTCCTAAGCTGACTTTTTAAAATATTTTTTTCTATCCCAAATATGCAGAAAATTGCAAATTTAATTTTATTATATGAAATTCTGTCCCATTTACAACAGCCAACTTCAGTAGATACACTAGTATCACAAAATGTTCTATCCTATTGTCCATGTCAGGATTAAAGATGAGGAAACTCTCAGGAAACAAAAAGTGTCAACTCTAATTCAACATGAGCACAATTAGAATACATAGGGGAAAGTGGAGTGCAGACAAGACAAAGTCCATGCATTCTTTGCTTGGAAAGGTGCAATCATCAGAATAATGCACCCAGATGGGAATTTGGGAATTTCCTTTTTAATATGGACTTGTTTTAAGAGGCACTTACAGGACCCACTCATAATTCTTCATTATGCACAATTCTTCATTTTATATATTTACTTGTTTTTCCTCTGCCAACTTTTAGTCACAAATTCTAAGAGCAGCTCACATATATGAATGAACAGTTCTAGTTATGTGTCATAGGTCTAATATTAACTATTGCATGATAGAGGTTGAAGTAACAGAAAAGAGTTTCAGCTACAACTGTGTGTACATGCATACACAAAAACAAATTAATGTTACTGTTCCCAGTGAAGGCTCTTCACTAGTGCTGCTGATTCTTTTAAAAATTGCGGAGACAGCTCAGGCCACAACATATTTGTGAATAGGAAGCAGGATTTCCTTTGCTGAAGTGCAGAAATAAAAGATCTTCAACTGAGCTTCTTATAGGCCTGAAGTCAGTTAGATATATAGGGGATCTTTTCTTTGTCCTTTATTCTTAGGGAAGTTATTTCCCCTAAAACTTCATCATATATTACATCTGTTTTATTTCTTGACAACTCCCACTTTCTTCTATTCCTCTTTCATTTTCATTAATAGCAACCATTGTTCTTTTTAGGCACACATCTGGCATTTTCCCTCTTGCCATATGATATTACTCATCAGAGTCGATAAATAGTTGACCCTTCTTGCCCCAAATACCTTTAATGCTTCAGTTGGGATTTGCATCCAATCTAGATGACTTGGCTTCCCTTTTGTTGTTTAAAGTTTAAATTTTGCTCATAATTCCTTGATTTGGGTATGTTCATTTCCAACTGTCATTTTGATAATTAGTGTTAATCCAGCTCTTTTCTGAACTATGATTTCTTTTGAAAGTGTGTCTCTCAATGATGTGCTTCATCCACTTCAAACATATCAATGGGAAACAGTTGGTACAGCTCAAAAACAAAACATCAAAATCATACTTGTGAAGCTCTTCAGCCCCCATACTTTTTTAAAGCACCAAGATAGTGCAGGACAAGCACCTTGACCATATTTGAAATATTTTATACTTTCATTCAAAAGCTGAAAAAAATACTTTCTTCTGAGTTGGTTTGTACTGCAGAAATTTTCATAGAGCATGACTTACGCCTCTCTCAAATTCTGTACTAGTTGTCTTAGTATTGCACTGAGAAGAACTGTATGGAAAAGTCAAGTCATGATAGGTGTGTATGAAATAGTATGGACAGAAAGGTATTAGTCTTCCTTCCTTATAACACTAGAACTGGCTGATATCATCAAATGAAATTGTTTTGGTCAGTCTAGATAGATAAAGGAAAGGTCCTCAGAGTCTTCAGCTGTGGAATATAATATCACAAAAAAAAAGTATTTTTCTAGCATATTTGTCATGCCTTGAACTATGATTTCAAGGTTCCCCTTCACTGGGAAGCATCATAACAATTTCAGTACATCCCCAGCTGAGTAAGGTTATAAGATTCAAACATTTTGTGGTGCAGTGGTTTGAGTATTGGACTATGACTCTAGAGGCCAGAGTTTAAATCCCTGCTGAACCATAAAAATCACTGGGTGACTTGGGAATTTCACTCAGAAGATGGGAATGGCAAACTCTTCAGAAGAAATTTGTCAGTAAAACCCCATGATAGATTTGCCTTAGGACCTCCATAAGTCAGAAACAACTTGAATGAACAGTTCTAGTTATGTGTCATAGGTCTAATATTAATGCTTGCAGTTATGTTGCACACAACAACAACACATTTTCATTTATACATTAACTTGAAATATACATCTAGAAAATCATAGTGACATATATAGCCTGAAACACAAGGAAACCAAGTCAGTAGTGAATCTCACTATTATCATCTCTATACTCTCTCTGATCTGGACCATAGAGAGCTATTGTGAGATTCCTATTGATGGTGATAATAAACAAGAGCCCACTGATGGGTCATGGTGGTAATAAGCAAGATATTGTGTGATGCCTGAATGGTTTAGGGAGAAGATACTACATGAGAAGCTGGGCAAGCCTGATTGGAGCTGTCCAATCACAGCTTTTGAAATGCTATGTATTGTGGGGGGAGGGGGGGTTATAGGATATAGCCAAGAAGACTATCCATTAGAGATGGGAGCAGAATGAAATAGAATTAAGGAGTCAGAAAAATAGAGTATCAGGATTAATTGGGAGGAGGGAAATGGAGGTGATCTGTATTGGGTTTTGGGAGCTGAGAATGTGGGGAAGTGTTACAGGGTTTGAAACAGAAGAGTTACTGTATACTGTGTGTGGAATCTGCATAAGGATAGATGCTTATTATATTTGTTATATAATAATCTTTACTATTTTAATTTTCTACAAATGTGTCTGGCTGTTTTTATTTAAGATGTGAAAGGGAGATTTGGTCACACTTTACCATACTGAAACCACGAATCAACACAGCACAGGTCCAGAATAACAGCCACCTTGAGGCTCAATCACCAGAATCAAGAAGGACCCTAAGGGCATAAGGGCAAGGTAATTGAGAGGAGCCCAAGAGTTGGAAATGTGAGACTAGATCAGGGCAGACTAGATCAGGGTTCCATCACAGAGGCCCTCTCCAATCTATCCAGCTGTCTATCAGTTCCATTAACATATATTTACATTCACATACAGGTATAATGTATGGTATAACCATTCCTGTGGATGAAATGTGTTGTAGTCCATTACATTTAATAATAAATAGGTTAGTCTTTAAGGTGCCATGAAACTCTTTTTGCCACTGGCTTAATTCAATGTTCTTAAAGTAGTCAGTGGAAAATAACTGAGCTAGAAAAAAGCATTAATAAGTAGACAATCTTTTTAGTATTGTGACTTTGACAAATCTGCACAAGAACTAATGGTGTATGAAACACACACATACACACACACACACAAAATTTGGCTTCATACCAGAAGACCTTCTTTTTTTCTTTTTTTAAGCAGTGCACATTCCATGGTTATTCATATTTTCATGATAGCAAAACAACTAAATATAGCTCAGGCAGAAGCACCAAAGAAGGAATGCTAAACTTGATAGAAATGACAGGGTTGGCAGAACGCTCCTCTGCTGTTTGAGAATTGCTGAATAATTAAATAATGAAATGAAATATATCAACAACTAACATGTTCCACTGAAATAGCCAGGAGTTCTTTATCTACAGAATTCTTTTAATTTGAGCAAGCATGTGTGGCTGCAGTAACAGTCACATTGTTTAGGCAAAGGAAGAAAAATTGCATTATTTTATCTCTTGGCCTTTGATTATGTTAACTTCAGTGATGGAAAACTCTCTTTGAAGAAAGGTCTGTATACAGACCTGGATCCAAAATTCCCCTCTCTGTCTGCAGTGTGTGCAATAGTTCAAACATCAGTAGTTTGGCTGAAGTAGGGGGAAATCTTATTTGAGTACAAATATATTTCCTTGTTCTTGTTCTAAAATTGAAGTTGACACCAATGATGTACAATCATATTGGCTAAACCTATACAATTCATAACCAGAGTCACAACAAAACAAGAATCGTTGAGACGATCAGTCATAATGTGGCTTAAAATGAACCAGTATCATACAAACTGCACCATAGTTAATGGTGAAAAGTGGCATTGTAGGTCTGCTGTTTCATGGGAAATCAAAATACTGTCACTGGTTGCATCTAGAGTCATATTTAACCAAGTTCTTCTTGTTCTAGAGCAGGAGATATTGTAGGAGTACAACTCCCATGATCCCTCACCATGGAGGTTCAAATACCTGCTTGGCCATGATAACACACTGGATGACCTTGGACAAGTCACACTCTTAGTCCTAGAGGATGGCAATGGCAAACCCCTCTAAAGAAACTTGCCAAGAAAAGGCTGTGATAGATTTATCTTAGGGTCCCATAAGTCAGAAATGACTTGAAGGCAAACAACTTACAGACCTCTGCTGTACTACCATGCTTTCTGTGCAAGTATATAGACATAAGTTTCTTCTTTCTTTTAGTGTGAGACACTGAATAACTGAGTTCTTCAACTGAAAATGTGGCAAAGAAAACTCTATATGGTAATCAAAACACCTAAAATACCCTATATGTATGCAAGAAATTACACTGATAGGTCTACCCAGCTGCTAGGTGATGTCTTCATCACTATGTCATCTGGGAGAGATACACCAGGCCCAGCACCATCGGGCCTAGGAGAAGAAGAAGAGCCCTCCCTCCATTCCATCCGATGTCATCTGGGAGAGATACACCAGGCCCAGCACCATCGGGCCTAGACTATCTTTTATAACTTACCTTTTAAGGGGCGGGTGGGTTGTACAGTTAATACAATCTGTTTACATTGTATTAACATATCTTTATGTAAATTTAATATTGTAAGCCGCCCCGACTGCTCTGCAGAGGGGCGGGATATAAATAAAAATTATTATTATTATTATTATGACTACTTTCCTCACACAGAGCTCTCATTCTACATCCAGGGCAGTTGCATTAGCATTGGACCTTTAGTGACCCTGGCTACTACCTTTTTAAAACTGAAAATAATAAATTGATCTTTTCTCAGTGTAGTCCCAATTCCATTATTGTTGTTTTTTATATATATTCATGGATGAATAGAGTTAATGGATATCTATACTGGATGACATATTTTAAAAATAGGAGATTGATAAAATCATATAATCATAGAGTTGGAAGAGGCCACAAGGGCCATCCAGTCCAACCCCCTGCCATGCAGGAATATACAATCAAAACACTCCTGACAAATGGCCATCCAGACTCTGTTTAGAGACCTCCAAAGAAGAAGACTCCACTGCGCTCTGAGAGAGTGTGTTCCACTGTTGAGCAATGCTTCCTGTCAGGAATTTTTCCTAATGTTGAGGTGGAATCTCTTTTCTTGCAGCTTGCATCCATTGTTCCAGGTCCTATTCTCTGGCACAGTAAAGAATAAGCTTGCTCCATCTTCAATATGACACCCTTTCAAATACTTAAATAGGGCTATCATATCACCTCTTAAACTTCTCTTCACAAGGCTAAATATACCCAACTCCCTAAGTCTCTCCTTATAAGGCATAGTTTCCAGAACCTTCACCATTTTGGTCCCTCTCCTCTGGATACACTCCAGCTTGTCGATATCCCTTTTGTATTGTGGTGTCCAGAACTGGATGCAATATTCCAGGTGAGGCCTGATCAAAGCAGAATAGAGTGACACTATTACTTCCCTTGATCTAAACACTATACTTCTATTGATGCAGCCTAGGATTGCATTGGCCTTTTTAACTGCCACAGCACACTATTATTCAACTTGTGGTCTACTAGGACTCCTAGATCCCTTTCACATGTAGTGTTTGTGGTTCTTCTTCTGTCTTATAGCCCCTTGTTTGTGGAATAGCATGGAGGTCAAAAGAGGAAGAGGAGATCTGTACAGACAGTAGGAAAATACAAATTACTATAGCTGAGCCAAAATTTCTTAGATTTCTGAGAGGAGCGGACTTTTTCTTTTTTTTTACTCACCCATAATGGAAAATGTTGACAGCCATTTGTGCATATTTCTAGAAGATTATCCTTTTCTTTCATTGCAACACAGTTACTTGCTATTTGGAGGCAATGTTTATACAAAAGCCCTGCTCTCCTGACAGATGAGAGATTTGCAAGGGACAGCCAGCAAATTCCATAGCAATAAGGCTATAAATTCCCACGCAATAAGGCTATACATTCACCCAAATTTTTAATGTAGACTACTCCTGAACTGTCCAATGTGCTGAACACTATCCACAAACTAGGTTCAGAACTCCAGATAGTCCCTTAAGGGCTGCAATAATATCTATAGTGGATTCATTACACCCCAACGTGGAAACCACGTGCTGCCAGTGAAATTTTCCATAGTTCTTGTTCCACATTCAATCAATGCTTCTCATTCTCCACTCACAAAATGGAAGCTGATAGGTTTAGTTCACACAGATATCAAATGTGCAGTTACTAGATGGATGCAATAGGAATTGGGAATCAATGTGATGAGTTTTATAGTTATTGTCAAGAGGAAGCTCTTAGACAGCTTCAATAGTGACAGTCAAAACAGGGAAAGGACTAATGGGAAAGGAGACTAGCATGTTTATACCAAATGCTTTTTTGATAGCTAGTGGGGTGGAGTGTGGGATGGTTGGGAAAAGTGGATCTTCATGATCCACAGTGTTTATTTGGGAAAGGATTTAAATACATTTTCTTCCAATCTTTTGTATGTCTCTTATTCTCCATCCTCACCCGCATCACATTTTCCTCCTTTTCTTTGCTTATGCCACATTTAAAAAAAAAACTGTGCAAAAGAATCACAGCAACTTCAGAATGCCAACTACAGCAAAACAGGAATAGGGAAAAAAGAGAAGGAAGGCGCATCTTGCTGCAAGTGGTCATTTGAGACTGATAAATTATGACCACAACTATAGCCAGTGTCATTTAAGTACTCTTTAGTTTCTGATGATAAAGCACTCACTTATTACCACACTGACAAGTGCAAACCTCTGTGGCCTCAGCTTACAGCCTGTCCCATTTGTTACCCAGACAGCCAAGCTGCACTGA